ACCTATTATGTGACTACTGCTGAATTTAGATATAGGGGTGTGGTGTATGCTATTTACATGGACAGACATAACTGGTATGCAACACCGATCAGAAGTGGAAAACGTGCCAGTAGAATGTTGAGATGATCGAATCGAAGCGAGTGGAAACAGTGTGATCACTATGACAATGAAGGAATGATTAAGTTTGAGACAATGGATGGAGAATTTGCAAATGGAGTACTGAACGTATCGTCCTCACGTCTGATGAAAGTATTCTGTAATCTTACATTAAAACATAACCGAATGTCCCTCACTTGTGTTTTCGTTTACAACAGGGGTACTAGGTATATTTGATCAGCCTATGATGTAGATCTTGATAAACGGTGGTTAGAATTGCGATGCATGAGCAGGTAACGCTTATCACGATGACCACTTTACCAGAGTGACTGATATTTATGCGATACCTTTTTTTATCCTGTTCATTTCCATTCTCCATGGTGGTGCAAAGTTTGGCAGTTCGGGTTTAAGAGGTCATTTTAGCGGCTTTGGTAAAGTTTGGTTTCGTGTACCAAGCTACTTACAATTTGTTAGTAACTGATCTTGTGCACAATGAATTCTATTTTCATTGACATGATATTTTTTGCATTGAGAGACAAGTTTTTGTATTAGTCGGTTGACATAATAAATGCTGACAAACTGAATTCACAGTTTACAGAATTTTAAAAAATAACGAAAAAAAAAAACGATAATCATTATCTAAATATTTGCTTGGTTCACGCATAAACGCAAGTCTTAAACTTCGTATACTGTTTAGGAAATGGTATAATTGCATTGAAAAATTTTGAATGAACATTTAAAAAAACGCAAAAAGTTTAAAAACTTTTTCTAAAAATTGGTCACTTCTCACAAGAAATAACATTTGAATATCTATTAGTGTAAATAATAGACATTTTTGGTAGAATAACTTCAAGAGTTGACCACAAAGTGTATTCACATATCTACGTTCATTCAGAAACTATTATAATTGTATAAAAAAAAATCGCTGAAAATATAAACAAGAAAAAATACACGGTAAGCGATAAGCATTTTTAAATTCTTTATTAAGAATCCTTTCCCGAGATAAATGATGATTTATATTGTTGCTTAAGTTTTTCTGTGTTGGTATAATCCAAACTGTCCACTGGGTTGGACGAGGAATCTGTTCAAGTTTGAAGGCAGAAAAAGAACAAGGAAAGTGATAAACAGGATGACGATGATGTAAGTAAATGTGATTGCTTTTGTGATCGAAGATTAGAAAGTGGATTAAACAAACTTAGATATTCGGATACTGATTTGAAGAGAGTGTTAGATTCAAAGTGAGTTCCCAATATAAAGTAGAGAAGACGTGATTGGTTCTAAAATAACAGTCGGATTTCTCCTTTTGATAAATGGACACTAATTTTCTCAGGACGAACACTAAACGATTTATCTGCGTATATGATTCATTCGCTCTATACTTGATACCAAACGTCAACGCAACTGAAATCAAGAACACGTGATTCGCCTGACTCGTACGTGTATTGGTCAACATTCAACAACCGACAATATGATAATAAGGGGTAGGAAAATACATAATACACATCCAATACTTATCAAACTATCTACCAGTCTAAGCAAACAGCCTATAACTATTTCTCTCGCCCATACAACAGGATGATTCTAACGATATATAGAACGATGAATATGTCATCAGTGATGGCATCAGACAGTGAATGCACAATCTGGTAAATTGAATGAACTTAAGAATGTTAATTACTGGATATTTACATAATGATCCATGGGCATCGTGTTCGCTACCAGACTCAAAGATCCTAGTTAGGTCTCAAACGAATTTGTGAGTCTTCACTACTGAGAAGTAATACACCCCTTAATTATCAATACGTTTATAACTGTTGCCGGTCAGTGATGAAACTTAATTTTAAATTTATTATGATCGTTCGTTCTTAGTTGGCTTCATGAAATGTCTCCAGCATTGATAACCAAAAATTCCTGAAAAGTTGTTTAGTCCTAGAAATACGACTCTGTGGCTTGAAAAACCTGGTTTCGACCCTTGGTAAGTTTGTGGACACACATTGATGAGGATTTCGACACTATAACGAAATATTCGTCGTGTTTTCTGGTTTTTAATAACTATCTAGCTAATGTTAATTCATCATATAAAGTACAAATTAAACAATCTCCGCAAATTTACTATGTTAGCAAAGAACCTTTTTAACTAGTATGATGATAAAAACTTAAATGTAGGTTGTTTGCTATTTATCAGCTCCCCACCCACCCAGTTTCAAAATGACATAGGAACGTCTTAAAACTTAAAAGAATTAACTATTTCCGTAAACTGTTGTGGATCACAGCATAATTTGCGCTACCACAGCAAAGTAGAAATAAACTAATACATCCAGGAAATTATTAATTATGTTCAATTCCAAAGAGTAACAGTGAAAAATCTGGATGTACAAAAATCGAGTTTCTGCTGTATAAAATTTACTATATTTCTGGTATAAAGTGTAATTACTGAGTCCTGCTGTTAGCTTCAAAGAGAAGCCATATGGGTTAAAACACATGTCTACCATACAGGCTTGAATGGTTTCAGTACACAACAGCAAGTTAAAAACAACCTTGTTGCTGTTTGATTTGGAGTCAAAAATATTATATCATAAACCATAGCTTTAACATTTCAATCACGACCGAAGCTGCTACCTTGACGCGGTGGTGGGGCTTGCCTATCGTGATGACCCAACCGAGCTATATTGGCTGGAACATATCTTCCTGTAGGTTCTACCATGCCAGGAAGGTCAATTGAAGAACGGTAAGACTGAAAGCAGCAACTCAAGGTCTGAGGGCCAAGTCGTACTGTTGACTCTAGAGGAGTGTGACAGCAGTAAGGTGTTTCCCTCAGACAACTAGCATCTACGGCGATGCTGCCTTCCCACGAGGAGGAGTGAGGTTAGAAAAGGTCGGCCCTAAAAATGTCACACCTCACCTTACCTCACGGATTTCCGTCCCCGGCGGTAAGGCCCTTTGAAGAACGGAGCTAACACATTAAAAACCTTCCACGAAAAGGCCGTGCCCGACCGGCCTCAAGCAGTTGTCCCTTGGGCTCTGCGGTCACGCTCCCAGGTCGTTAAGACCAACACTAATCCGACTTCTTTTTCAGGTTCCTCAAGAAATACCCTTCCACGGTGTGGGCAGCCGGGAAGTGATATCAGCCCTCATACCCGTAACAGCGCACGAAACCAAGTTGGAACATTCCAATAATAGTATATGATGAAAATGTGTGTTTAAAGCTTCAAACTAGGTCAGTGATAAGGTTTAGACGGAATTCTCGCAACTACTAAGCTGTTATAGAATGTCAGTTCTAGCTTAAACTACTTCAGTAACATTTTTGGCCGCAATGTCAGATGAGATAAATCTGAATAACCCAAAAGCTCAAAACCAGGTGCCAAAACACTTTGGTGGTCTATCATCAAGAGGAAACTTGGAACTAAGACTTCTCGCCGATTGCCTCCAACTGAATAGAACGGAAAGGATAGGAACACGAAGAAATCTAACTAATGAAAACAAAAAGCACAGGTTGTTGCTAAAGGGCTGTTGGTGAAGGGCAAATTTGAATACTCCTTGGTTTTCTATTAAACCGTTGATGACACCTTGACGTGGTGGTCGGACTTGCCTATCGCGATGAACCAATCGAGCTATACTGGCTGAAACAATTGTTCCTCAAGGCCCTACCATGCCATACAGGTCAGTTGAAGAGCGCTAAGACTAAAAGCAGCAAACCCAAGGTCTGAGGTCGGAGTCATACTTCTGACTGTACAGAGATGTGACGACAGTAAAGTGTTAACTTCAGACAACCAGCATAACAACGATGCCGCCTTCCCACAAAGAAGAATGGGGTTAGGAAATGTCAACCCTAAAAATGCACACCTCACCTTATCCCACGGTAAGGTCTCAACAAGTACGAAGCTAACACGAAAATTACTCACAGAAAGGTCATGTGTGGCCAACCTCAAGCAGTTCTCTCTTTAGTACTACTGTCACTCTTAGATCACTAAGACCACCTTGAATCCGATTTCCTTTTCAGGTACTTTTAAAAGAACCCTTCCACTGTGTGGGCAACCGGGATATGATAACCGCCATCATAACTTTAACAGCACTCAAGACTGACTGACTGGTACCTAAATCTGAGTCGTGTACAAGGTGTAATCTTGACTACTTAGCCAATCGTGTGATTACCTCAGTCACAGCTTATACTAGTCTTTGTAAATTAGTCTTATATGATGGTCCAATTTCACTTTGAATGTTGGCGATACCACAAGATCCGTTCATAAGAATTCAATGAACCATGAATCGACGTAAAAACAGTGTCTTCAGAACCAAACTTTTAAACAGTATTTTGAGGAATTTTTGGAGATATTTTCGCATATCAGAAGTCCTACAATTAAGGTATTGTGCCTTAATACGAGGTTCGTTTGCAGTACGCAATAAGTCAATTAAAAGTGATAAACCGAACAGCACTCGCAAGAGGTAAGTTTTGGTCCTTGTTAACGAAAGCTGTATACTAGTTAAGGGATTCACTTAATAAATAAACCTAGTCTGAACATAGTCAGACATAGCCAACAGTTTATGATAGCGATAATTTAACTCTGAGTAATTCATTTCACAACATTATTTCCGTTTGTCTGTAAAGACTGAAGTCCTAAATATGTAAAAAGCTTTATTAGTAGCTGAATTACGGTCATAGTAAAATGCTAAACCAGGATGTTGGTCACCGACCGTATGGTAATTCTAGTATGGAGTATATTACTAAATATCCGTATGATGTTGGATTAACCGGAAAAATCACTCAGTTGTAATGAAGTGATGGAAATAATTTCAACGGATATAAATTAAAGGTAGATGGAGTGATATTTTGTTGAAACGTTTGTTGCATTATAGAATTAGAATTACGCTTCAGGATTAGATTCAGGGTATAAATAAACCAACCGCAGTCACAAACCCGAACCCTAACGTCTAAGGAATTATAGCTGACTCCAAAAAGCTCAATATTCATGTAAAAACAATATATTCTTAGTTATTCATTTTTTTTCTACCATAAACAACTCAGATGTATTGTTTCCTGATTGACGATAAGAAGCAAATGGCTATCGCGATCGCTTTAGAAGCAACTTGAATTCGGAACAAAGATTTAGATTTCTCATGACTAGTTAAAACTAGTGTTAAAGAAAACGGTTTGTTCTTTGAAAATATCCAGACAGCCTCAAAGGGTATGAATAAGTGATGTGACCTACCCAGAATGCTATCTTTTTATAAAAATTTAGTAAGCTTGATTTACCAATTAGCACTTCAGTACTTATTCGAAAGCATTAGATTTGGTTGTGTTCAAAACATATTTCGGGCACTAACATATAACCAATGGTTAACCATTGGTTATATATTTATTGGTAAAAGAATTCATTTTGCTAAGTACCATCACAGAACGTACAAAGCAATCGCAAAATAAAAACCCAAATAAATAACAATATAAGAGTTGATCGACCGATTAGTACTAAAAAAAGAGGACGTCTACGAGTCAGCTGACTCACTTGTATGGCTTCCTAAACCATGGTGACAATTTGGTTGCATACTCTTTTCCAAACCCTGAAGGTACTGATTTTCTAGCTCTTCATTGATAACAGATGTATCTTTATTTTGACCGTGCACATTATCGATGTTTTCTCCGATTACTAGTTTTCCTTTATGGTCACGTACAGGATTTCCTCCCATTAATTTTAAGAACTTTATGTTTCGGTCTTTAGAACCCAATTCAGCGTGTTCCCAGTCATTCGGAGATCGTACATCTGTTAGTTTAAAGTCACCTTGCCCATCATTTTCCATATTAGCAATAGCCTAACACCATAGAGAATGCTTCGACCCTACCTGGACCTTCGTTACATGTTACCGCTGTCCAGTATCCAATATCCAGATGCAGATTTCACAGTTATGTGGTAAAGACAGAAGGTTTACGGTCCTTATTAGTCTTTTTCTAGTAAGCTTCTGTGTGTGTCTTTTCCTATATTTCTTTGAAAGCCTACACAGCTTATTCTAGCTTCTGGGTAAGCCAATTCATTCTTCTTAAGTCACATTTTGACATTTAGCTTCAGTTTGGAAAGGACAGGAGGCTTGATTGCCTGTGTTAGTCCTGGCAATGGTGGTCTCTCAGTTGATCCAACTTTCTTTTGAAAGAATCGACGGATGGAGCTTCAACCACGTGCTGAGATAATGAGTCCCACTCGTTGATGATTAGATGGGAAAGTCAATAGTCAGCTGACAAGTAATTTGTTCTGGGCTTGTGAACATTTTTGGAGTGTCCTCTTAAATTCTCTGTTTTGAAAGACAAGAAAAATGAGGGCATATCAGGAGCAAATTTATCACTAAGCAATTTGAAAACTGTAATCAAGTCGCCTCTAGTTCTACGATATGACAACGGGAAAAGCTTCAGCTTGGCCAGTCGAGCATCATACGGAAGCTTCGCTATTCTGGGAATCATCTTGGCTGCTATTCTCTGAACCATTTCCAAAAGCTCACTGTCTTTTTTAGGCAGGGGCTAGCCGCTTGTATGCAGTACTCAAGTTTAGGACGAACGGACACTGCATTCAAAGTCAAAAACGTTTTACCTTCGATGTGACTAAAATTCCCACGTACTGACCATAAGGTTTTAAAACCCTTGGCGGCTGTTGCATGACAGTGTGCGGCAATCTTTAAGTCTTGGCTAACGATGACACCTAAGACTTTATGTGTCTGGACGACAGGTAGATCAGTGTTATTCATCGTGTATTTATCTGTACCTTGATGACCGATATACATCACAACACACTTGGGAGTATTTATCGGCAACTGCCAGGTTTGAGACCATTCAGATCATTTCTTCAGGTCATTTAGAAATCCTAAGCTATCAACCTTACATCTTATCGTTCTCCATATCTTGACATCGTCAGTACATAGTATGACCGATAATGATAAGAGACGGAGAATGTCATATACATATGAGAGGAATAACACTGGCCCCAAAGCTGCGCCCTGGGGCACTCCACTAAGCACAGTTTCCCAGCTAGATAGCTTTGAGTTCACCCGTACTCTTTGTTGGCGCCGAACTAGGAAGTCTTTTATTAACATCATTGGATTGCCTCCAATCCCAACATTTCTTAGCTTACATAACAGCCGGTTGTGCTGAGCTTTGTCAAAAGCTTTGCTAAAATCAATGTAGGCTACGTCCACAGGTAACTTTTGGTCCTTAAAAACGCACCAGCTTTCACGAGCTACTAATAAGTTAGTGAGACAAGAATAACCTATTCTGAAACCGTGCTGTTTCTCCGGAAGGATCCGATTTTCATCGAGGTAATTAAGTAGTTCCTTTTGAATAATCTTCTCTAAGATTTTACCAACCATACTAGTTAGGCTAACGGGTCGGTAATTCTCAGGTATATGTTTCGTACTTGTTTTGAGGACAGGACTTACTGTGGCGCTCTTCTAGTCTTTTGGTAAACGACCCTGCGTTACGGATAGTAAAGCATGTACTTAAAGAGTTTGCAACAAAGTTAGATAAATCCTTCAGGATGCAAATCATCGAGCCCCGTTGATTCACCTATGTCAAGCTTATTTAGCAGATCAAAAACATCGAGTTCTTTAGTGGTCACGCCATCCAGTGTTTGTGTGGGGGGATCTATATGCACTGACGAGAAGGGCGTTTTTATGGTACATACATTGCTAAAGTAGTTCGAGAACACTTGAGCCTTACCAAAGTCGTCCTCCACTAATGATGCGATAGTGCTATCTCCCCATAGAGCAGGAATATATCCTCTCCTCTTTGTCCTTTAGTTTATATAGAAATACAAACGTTTAGGACATTTCATGGATTCCTTAACAATTTTTTTCATCGTACAACTTTCTAGACTTACGGAGGGTCGAGGCACAGGTATTCCAAGCTTTTCGATACTGAGATTTTGTCCCATCGGTCCCCAGTAACCTAAATCTCCCACATTTTTCTTCTCTTACGGAGAAGGATGTGGAACTCCCTACTGAACCATGGTGGGGAGTTTCTCGGCCCCCTTGGTATAGTCCAAGGGAAGTGGGGTTTGGTAACTTTTAAGTATGAATTTAGAAGTGCATCCCAGGCCGTTTCAATTAAGGACTCTGGGTCTATTGTCCAATCTACTAACGATGCTGAGTGCATGATATCCGGTATGTTTGCTTTACAGACGTTAGGTCTGGATTGGAGTGACGCGTGCTCGTGACTGACAGTTAAATGGAAATCGAAAGTTAGAACTGCGTGATCACTTTTACCAAGGGGTAGCATATAATGGAGGTTTGCAACGTCATCCTCATAGTGGGTCAGTATAAGATCTAGTAAGGATGATTCAGTGTCCGGGTCGTACCCTGTCGCTTCTTGCACATGTTGCACTAGCGGACATGTGATAACCGCATCAACTAGTTCCTGCTCGAAAGAATTTTCCGACCATTCAGTGTGCAGATTTACCCAGCCTACCATAGGTGCATCAAGGTCCCCCAGGATTAGACATCGACTACTTTGTGACCATGTATTGAGACTACTTAGAAGCACCTCATTTACCTCACAGCTTGGACTGCGATAGGCCATGTTAATTATTAGCCCAACAATCTTGACTTTTATTTATATAAGCGTATGTGTGTGCGTTTCTTATCTTGCACATCAAATGTCGGTAGATCGTTTTGGTTCGAATATAAATATCGATTCACGCCTGATTAAATCGAGTTGACTTGCATGTCTTCACCGTGCATCATTTCATTTCCCTTTACTCCGTTGATCGTCTGTTTGGATGACTGTGAAAAAATATGCGTATTCAAAAATTCATTCTCGTATTTGACTTATTTAGTTCCGTTATTCAATAATACGATTCAAATCGATGGTTATATATGACGATTGACGACATATGTATTTCGACAGCAATCGTTCAATAGCAATCATTCATACGATTTGATTGGAGGCAGATCTATGGCCACTAAGGTGGTGCCCACCGATGACGAATCTAACGCAGAAAAATGCATCGATGAATAATCTTCTGCACTTCATTCCTTTGTTGAACAAACTCAGAGAAGCCAACTTTATCGATAAACAACGCAGGTTTCGACCATACGATCAAATCGGAAGGAGATTGTAGAATTATGATCTACTATGATATTAGTACTGCTCTAATAATAGACCTAATCCTAAATCTGTAGATTTGTCATGATATAACTGCCTAATCTATAAGATCTTACGTGGAAGTCACACCATCGACTACACCAACTCACTGTATCGTATCAATTACCAATACATGATGTAGAACAAGGTTAGGCTAGAGAAAGAACAATATATTTAATATGAATAGAAGATGTAAGGTAACATTCGGCAGAGACCACGCCTGCATGGCCGAGCCATGCCGTTCGATCAACTCTAATTCATTCAGTTCATTATTCGCGCCTTCTCCATCGTTAGGTATTTCTTCGCGTTAAATATTGAATACCTATTTTCCGAGTAATCTCGTATTCAGCTTTGAGGATAGTGTGGTTATGGTCCAATGCCACTACACTACTCTCCCACCAGAATCAACGTGGTGTTGGTTCGATACCCAATTGGATGGGACTGTAGTGTGCCGAAGGTTACCAAGAATAGTAAGATTCCTCCGGGTGATGACAAGCTGAAAGATAAATCAAAAAGAAGACGGCAGCATCTGGTCGGGAAATACATGTAATAATTTTAAAATATCTGCCTTCATGCTTAACACGCTTACAATGAAAATTTGAGTGATTATTTGAGCTATAAAAAAATGGGATTACAATAATAATAATAGTAATAATAAAATGATGCGTGTGTAATAGCCGTTGGTTGATAACTTAACGTATAGGTAGTAAGTATTTTGTGTTTGAAAATATTAAAGTTATGAATATTGTAGAAATGTTAATATTAGTACTACTTTTAGTCTAACTTATGAAATCAAATAACGATTATGCCGGTAAGTTGTCCATATGAGTCGATTTCCAATTGCATCTGTATTAGTAGGCTAACTGAACGAACAAAAGTATTACCGTGGAGAAGAATTCCAACTAGTGTTCCAGTTAGTTTGATACGGTTTGTTTAGTTACGGGGAGATTTTCTCAACCTCATTTTTACTTGACCGTGATAGAATTTAGTAATACTACTAATACACATGAATGGTTATCAAAACAAAATTTAAATACGTGAGTGGTAATTATGTGAATTTTGGACAGATAGCTAGCAACAAATCGTTAAACATGAGTTTATTCTTAAGAGACATGCTCTAGACTCAATGTTCTGATCTGCGGCAGACTATTTATTTATATCTATACTTGCCGGCTGATTGTTTATACAAGTTAGTTGAAAGTATGCAGTTTATCATAAGGCGGAATACGATTTAATTGAGATATAGTGGTTATACGTTATTGAAATTAGTTAAACCTATGTGTCATATTACTAAGTGATGTGGTGCTGCAAGGTGTATTTGGCTAAATAATTTTTTCACAAGATGATTAATAGTGAGTGATGCTCATGTGATTATCAGGGAGAACATAAGTTGTAACCAAGGGGAGTGCACTCCCAACTAATGCCTATGATAATAGCTTGAACCTTAGTCAGTGTTGGGGAAATTCGACATTGGTGTTTTCAGTTTGCAGGATATTTGCTCGACTGCTTATACTGATTATTTGCATGCATGATTGTGTCGCTAAACCATCAATTAGACTGACAAAGTTTTGAGATATTTACTGAATGAACAACTGATAGAGAAACATACTGTAATCATCTGAAGAAAAACAACACTAGTGATAATTATAAGTCAATTTGCTGACCTATTTTGTTAATA